TCATATTCAACATTTCACAAATACTTCTGTGGCATTGAAACATTGTCTTGAATTAAGAATTCCACTACATCAATTATCTGATTAGCTGCAACAAGGTTAGTCTGAAAAATAGGGTTAATGTGAAAATTTTCAGAGAGGAAAGGCTGGGTGCCTATGCTACCAAACAGATTGTCATTTAAGCTAATTGCTCTACAAATGTTATGATCATGATAAGTAAATGGCACATCTTCATGAAATCACAGCAGATTTAGACACTGAGAACAATGATAACAAGGTCAAGCTACAGAGGCTAAACTCACTTCTAGGGTTAGAATGTAGACTAAAAACAATAGCGAGGCATAATAATCATTATTTGACATCTGTAGGTGTTAAGATATGAATGCACACCTAGAAATCTTCAACTTACTTTAGGAACATTAAGACAATTGATATTCTGGCACTGTTAAAATACAAACTGATGATGCTCGGTCTATCCATCATGATTTAAATAATCCAGAAAAATTATGACCCTAGAATCACTGTTATAAATCAACTGATTTAAAGTGTTTTTTCTCAACAAGCATGAATAACTAAAATAGGTGGCTTGCCACAGAAATACAATTGTTAGCCCAGACATGTCACCAGATCACCACATATGACTAGGAATTTCTTTTAGGTTGCCACAAGATTTAGGGACACTTAATTTAGAATTAATGCCCACTGAAAAAAATAGGGCTTACTACTCAGAAAACATACTTTGGTTCTGCATCAACATCTTTGAAGCAAAGACTGTGCAATGCATGTTTCTGCAAGAGAGGGAAATATAAGTGTCCATGCCGTTTAGCTGGCAGCAGTATTAATTCTTATTCATAATATGAGAAGCAAACACATTTTTTTAGAACTCAGTTGATGGGCATAAAATAGGAGTATGCTATCAATCATTTTGGATGCTTCCAGAGAAGGCTTTTATTGTGCAATTACCCTGCTTTGTTCACAGAATTTTACAGCATATTCAGATATCATCACTTTTCCATTTGTAACCCTCCCTTATTTTCCCACCACTAGTATATTTTCCTTTAAGAAAAATTATGTAATGGTTCCTAAAGAGCTTAACACCTTCTGGGTTGCTATTGTTTCAATTTTTCTTACTGTAATACTCCGTACTTTCCTTTGACTGTAAACATTTTCTTCTCAATCTGATGGAATCAAAATCCTGTTTGTCATTTCTTTGAACTAAGTTTTGGTTGATTTTTAAAAAAATCTTTTAAAGCATTTAAGGGGTTGAGTTAATATTCAATTTATCTGAAGATACTTAGAAACCCAAGAAACTTCCAAAAATATTGCAAACCTAAAAACTAGTTCCATCACATAAACTAGAGTATGTGATTATTTAAATCCAAACACTGTATCAAACATCAATCGCCAGCAAGGCAAGCTATAACTTTGACCCAAATTCCATCATTTACCCAATAACGAAAACAGTATATTTGAAATACAACTTCTCAGAGTAGCAGCAACTAAAAAGATGATGAATTGAAATAGCAGTTGATGGACAGATGTTACAGTGACTTACAGGAATATGCATTCCCTTTGACTTTTCCACATTTTCTTGTGTTACCCTAAAGAACTGAAATGGATTTTAATAGGCATCATTACTACCTGATGTGTGGAAGATTCTCAACATTGTGAAGTGCAAAATATTTTTATTGTGCCACAAAAGTCAAGTCAACACAAACAACCTGACACTTGTTAATTGCCAAAGTATTCAACCTCCCCTGCCCCCATCAATACTTGGTAGAAGCGCCTTTGCTAGTAATTGCCACTGTAAGCCTTTATCATTTTGCACATCTGGATGCTGCAATATTTGCCCATTCTCTCCGACAAAACTGTTCCCACTCTGACAGGCTGGATGTGGACCATTTGTGAACAGCACCTTTCAAATATCGCCACAGATTCTTAATTGGATTGAAGGGTGGACTTTGAGTGGCCATATTAAGACATTCAGATTCTTGTTTATAAATCACTCCAGTGTTATTTTGGCTGTGTGTTTAGGGTCATTGCCCTGTTAGAAAGTGAATCTCTACTGCAGTCATAGGATCCCTTCGGCCTAGCACAGCTTTTCCTCTAGAATTGCTCTAGAATTTGACACCATCCATCTTGCCCTCAATCCTGAACTATTTCCCAGCCACTGCTGAGAAAAAGCCCCTTTACAACATGTTGCCACCACCTCTATGCTTCATCAAGGGGATGGTCCTCTCAGAGCAATGAACTCTGTTGGCTTTGTGCCACAGGGTTTTATAGCAAGGCCAAAAAGTTCAGTTCTGGTCGAACAGACCTGAGAAACTTTTCCTATTTGCTGTGTCTCCCCTGTTCCCTTTTTGCAAACTCCAAACAGGCTTTGGTATAGGTTTGTTCAGCAATACCCTTTTTCTTGCTATTCTTTCATAAAATTGATCTTTGTGGAGTATCTGAGTGATCGTTATTCCATGAATAATTTCTCATATCTCAGTTGTGGATCTTCCTAGCTGCATCAGAGTTACCACTGGACTCTATTGGACTCAATTGCCCTGCTTACTTGATCACTGAGTTTTGGTGTACCACCTGCTCTAGAAATAGTTACAGCTAAGCCATAGTATTTCCATGATGGGTTTAATTTGCTTCAGAGGATCTTCTTTATGACCTATCCCTATTGCTGCTTCTGTACAACATTATCCTTGAGTTGTTTTTAATAGGTCCTTGGTCTTCATGATGGTATTTGTTTAGATATATTCTGCAACAAGCTCTGTGGCTTTCCACAAATAGGTGCAATATTTCAGTGCAATAATCTGAAATCATGTAGCACTGAAATTGTACTTCAGCGGACTCCATTCAACTATTTACAGTAGGTGACTGAAAAAGGCAGTGGGTTGCACCAAAGTTTATGCACTTAGGCATGTCACAAGCAAAGGGGAGTGAGTACCTATACAACCAGCAAGTGACAGTTTGATTTTGCTTATTTAACTTCGGTGTCACAATAAAAATATTTTGCCCTTCACCGTATTGAGTATCTTATATACATTTAATGCCAATTAAATCCATTTCAATTCCAATTCAATACAACAGCATGTAAAAAAGTCAAAGTGAATACTTCTGCAAGGCACTGTACATCTGACAATCAACTTTCAGCATTGATTTCACCTCCACTTAGGGTAAAATTGCAGACGTCTATCAGTAAAACAAGGGGCAGTTCTAGGAAAACTATGGAGAGGGGAAATGGTTTCCACCTACTTCCCAAACATTCTCGTCAACAGGCCAGGTTAATTGACACTGATCTTATCCAGCTGTGAGGTAGCCAAATTAGGCTACATGCATATAACTCTCCAGACAGGTGAGTCCTGAATTGTGTTAGAAGAAGAAGAAGTGGGCTGTCTAGGAAGCTAAAGCTAGAAGAGGTATGGAAATAAAAGCAAGGCAAACTGCAAACTAGAAGGAGTACAAGTGCTACAATTTAAGGAAGATATCATCCCAATTACCACCTAAAGAGTTGTAAACTAGAAATTGGGTCTGTGACTGACCTCAGCCATCAGCTGTAAGCAAAGATCTGGATTTTTTTTTAGCTTATATACAAAAAATTGATTAAGAACTTGTCATCGAAAAAGGGCCCAGTGTAAAGCTACAGCAGGAGAAAATGCTGTAAGGTAATGAATGCTGTAAATAACTTGACACCTGACATCAAAGTTTAAATATATGAATTTATTAACAATCTCGTAGAGATTTTTTTAAAAGACTACATATAATTTCTGTCTACAAAATGGAAACACTTTTCTATGGCTACAGAAACCAGAGGATCACAATGAAAACTCAACATCAAGAACTGATGTCATCATAAGGAAGGCAAATCTTTTTCAGGCCTCCAAATTTTAAGTCTTTTGGAGTTGCTCTGAAAGTAAAACTGGCCAAAAATGGCAAAGGCTGCAGTCCTATTTGCACTTAATTGTAAAAAAGTGCTATTGAACTCAACAGGGCTTACCTTTGAGTAAATATGTATAGGATTGCACTCTAAATTTTAAGAAACTACTGCTATGAAATATGATTAATGGGAATCAGTTAAACATATCTGCTATTTAAAAAGTAAAAAATTGATATTGCTAGCAAGTATGAAAATAGTAAATGAACAGACTCTTAAAAATGTACTGATCAAGTGAATCTAATTTCTAAAAGTATTACTTTTATGGATAACAAAACCAGTCACACAGCTATAAAAAGTGTGAAAAGGTTTTTGTTTCAGTTAAGTGCAAAAAGATTGAATTGTTTAATATTGGTATTTCTTTCCCACAGAGACTGGGAAGAAAACTAGGAAACTAAAAATACATAGGAAGATTGACATTATCTTAGAACATGCGCTCTAGACATTGGTTGCTTTAACAAGGTTTCAGTTAAAAATGTTCCTCTATCTGCTTCTTGGCACATGAAAAATGTACTGCTCCCAAGCAGACACAACAGGAGTCACTGGCACAATTTTTTAAAAAGTGAGACATTTGCAATAGTCAAGCACATTGGTCATCTCCATGTTAACAAGAAATTCCAAGTCTTCTCTTTATACATCTACTCATGCTGACACAATGAGTTTTACAAGCAACAAGAATTTGTGCAACACATTCAACAGCATATTGAGACAGTATTTTAAAAGTAACACTTATGCTGTTGAAGATCAAAAGTCCATCCATGACCAACAAATAATTCTTGGTAAGGATAAGCAAAACTTCAACCACACATGGCAATTTCTCTTGACACTAGTTTTACTGTTCTACAGTCTATAGACAGACAATGAGTACCTTTTTCTTATTTCCATTAGGCTACAATTTTGCATTAGCACTAATGAAAATCTTGTTGACAACTACAGCTTACTACAGTACAATTTTATGACTTCTCATTTCAGATATCAGTAGCATCTAGTTAGTTTTGTGACGATTAATTCACAAGAAAACACAGAAGAGAAACATTCACAGGGTGCTTGAGCAACATTATGGGATGGTTCCTACCATATTACTCTGAGACTGTGTGGCCCCATACATTGTAATGCCATTTGAGGGAGCTGATGTCTGTGGAGTATCTGGTTGTATAAATCCTCTTCTGTCAATTAAGCTATAGAATAATAAAAAATCATGTTACAGATAGTTTTGCACTAACTTTAAAGGAAAAAAGGTTTCACCCCAAGACCATCAAATCATACTGCACTTATGAAAAAAGCCTGGATAGGTATTGTACAAAACACAATATTTTTCTATGTTCCTAAGACATAGGGCATAGAAAAAAGCTGCATTTTTTAGTTTCTGTGCAATCTTACTATGATCCATTATCAGCAAGCCATGAAATGCACAGGACCACCAAAGGACTAAAAAAACAGCATGGTCTATAGCAACCTATATGGTTTTGCATGTTATATATTCCTATCCCAAAGATCACAATAAAGGACAACATGGAAATAAGGGATTCAAAAGAATTCATTTGATGTCTTACCTGGGAGAGAGGGGCCCACAAAGTGCAGAGCAACAGTTAGTAAAAATGTTGCCATAGCTGTAGGGATTGAAGTTCTCTTTACCTCGTTTATTTGACCAAGATCCCTTGATCTAGTAAGAAATGAATATTAGTGGCTCATTCTTAATTTTGTTTCATTCTTAAATACACCAAGTGCTACAGTATTTCATAGTTCTGCTAAGAATCATGGAGGTAAACTAAGCCAAGAAATTATGAAGGCCAAGAGCACATAGTAATTTTTTTGGCTTTGATTTAAATCTTAATCGCTTGCATTGAAACATCCTATTTTAACCATAGCATTCTATGAAACTTTCTGACAAACAGAACCTCCAAAAGCAAAGGGATGTCTGAACCAGATGCTTATCCAGGATATATTTGAAGAAGAGCTATTGCAATCTCCATCACATCCTGGGAATGTGATTAGGACTCAAATTTTTAATTACAGTAAGTAGGTTCTTTATACCACCTTTCAATCATATTTCCAGGGTGGTTTGCAATGGGAATTAAACAATTAAAATGTAACAAATGCTAGTACCAAAAACAACAACATCCCAGGACTAAAAGCTACTTTCATATTTAATCATTGTGAAATTAATATCTCTTTAAAGACTCTCAAACTTCTGCAAAGTCCCCCATGTTCTCTTGGAGGTAAGAAATGAAGACTATATCCTAGAATAAAGCATGGAAGTTGCTTACGCATAGTTACTTACACTATCAGATAGCATCCCAACCTACCCTATCAAAACTGGAAAGCTTCCTAACAAACAGATCCTTGCTAAATTACATATGCAATATATATACTCAGAATTTGAAATAAGTACTATTATTTAAATTTAATAGCAGGCAAGCTAATTAACCTCTTGTGTTTAGAAGAGATAGGGAAGATGGAGCACCTGGGATTAACAAGGAGCTGTATGGCACCTTAAACATCTCCTGATTAATTGCACACTGAACAAGGCACATTGTCAGGAAGAGAGGAGGAATATATTGTAGACTAGAACAAGTCACGTGGTTAGGCTGCAAAGTTACACAATTATGAGAGTGTAACCCCCATCAAACATAGTGGAATTCTTAGTAAATCCTCAGTCATTCTTCACCCCAGCCCCAACAAGTCCAAAAGCATTCAACAAAGACTTCAGGACTGGAAAATGTTGCTTTGCTAACCCGGGTCCCTGGACCTGGTGAGAAGACAGGGAGAATTGATGCCAAATATGGCTCCTCAATTTATTCCACATTATTTTGGTAGTTATTTTGATTCTAGAACACTTCTTAAATCTGTTTCTGGGTTTTAATTTCTGGTGATCCTAAAACCTACATCAAATACTGCATTATTGGGTTTCTAGCAACCTCATCCTCATGCAAATGCTTACACAGCTAACAGGAGTTTGCAGTGGAGGTGTAGTGGGAAAAGAGGCAAAGGCAAGAAGGTTAGTGGCCACTCACTCTCTATCTCTTCTAAGTGCTCATGATATGCTACTGAGAACGGCAATCGAGGATGTGTGCTGAGAGCTGGGACTGAAGGGGAGTTCTCTAACCACTCTTAGCAGCTGTATGGGTGGAAAGATTCATTCTTTTTACCGACTCCCAGCTCAGCAGGGCAAAGGAAGCTGCCCAAGTTGGTCCAGAGGCTATACAAGTAAGCATGTTCCTAAGGAACAAGTGAACACATACAGCTAACAGGAGTTTGGCAGCACAATTTGACAGAGGAGGGCCTTATTTTTTTTTCTTGTAACCCACACTTATAAACTAGTAGCATTCTGTTGTTAACCTTCGAACCTAACTATGTTTTTAGACATAGTAGTAGAATGGCAAAGAAAAGTGAAGCTGAAGTACTAGAAGAGCAACAGGAGAGTCCTGAGATAAGGAAAAATGAAGTAGAGGAAACTTCCTGGGAAAGGGTGACAGCTAGAAGCAGATGAACTAGAATGTGCTCTGTACCCATGGAAACAGTGGAACTATGGAACTGCTTTCAGGATGAGGATGAGACTGGTGTGCAGCCTGTAGAGGAGGAACTACTGATGAATGGGTGCAACTGCAAGCAATAGGCTGAAGGTCAGTCAAACAAAAGCAATGATAACAAGACCTACAAGAAGAAAGGTAGTTGCTGTGGGTGATTTTCTGCTGCATGGGATAGAAATTCATATATGCTGAGAAGACCCATGGACTCGCCAGGTATGCTGTTTCACCGGAGGATGTGACTGAAAGGTTGCCAGTGCTTACAAAGCCCACTGACATGTATCCCTTCCTTCTAAAGCATGTGGGGACAAATGGTACTTCCATGCAGATCACTGAAGGAATCATGTGACTTTGAAGTTTTGAGAAGGAAACTCCAGAACTTTGAGGCCCAGATAGTTATCTTATCCATCCTCCCAGTACTTGGAAAAGGAACAGAAAGGGAAAGAAAAACACTCTGGTTGAATGCCTGGCTACAAATGTGGCGCTGACATGAATGATTTGGATTCTGGGGCCATGGACTATGCTACCTGGAAGGTGGACCACTATCAAGGGATGCATTGCACCTTATAAGGACTGGGAAGAATGTGTTTGGCCAAAGCATGAAGAAATTCAGCAGGAAAGGAAGACAAGTAAACTTGGGTGTAACAACACACAACAGCTTCTGCACCACAATGGAGAAAGCAAATGCCCAAAAGTTAAGCAGAGAGCTAGGAAGCGGTCTTCAATGTCTGCATAGTAATGCCCAGAGCATGAGAAACAAACAGCACAAACTTTTAATACAAGGGGGCGAATACAACTTGATAAGTGTACCTGAAACTTGGTGGGTTGACTCCCATGACTGGAATTCATCAAGTGAAGGATATAACTTGTTCAAAAAGAGCAAAAGGAACACACAGGGAAGCAGAGTCATGCTATATGTTAAAAATGCACATCTCTGGACAGAAAAAGAAGAGAATGAGCTTGGTAGCCCCATCAAGAGTAATTGGATTTTTAAAAGTGGAGCAGAGTGTATGAGGAACATGGGGTTCAGAGTCTACTAATGACCACCCCAGAAGGGGTCTTTTCCAATGCAAAGCAGAGTGGTATCCTTTCTCTACCTGCTGAGAAGGGTATCTTTTAGCTCAGAACTGATGCTCCAAGCACTGCTATTGACTCATACAACACTATTTCTTGAGGATTTGTTTGGGAAATGGCACTTGTGTTCCACTGGGCAAGGTGTCCCTTCTTGACCACCTGGCAGTCCTTCAGTCCTTCTAGTACTCATTTGTTTCTGCACAAACTGTCAAGGTGGCAGTAATAGATAATAATGCCTGTAGTAGCCAATAAACAAACAAGGAAATGGGGGAAAGCGCACTTGACTGTGCCTTGCACCAAATTATCTCTTTTAAAAGTATTAGCTAAATGAAGAAATGAAAATGAAATATATAAAGATGGAAACAAAACACTGAATAAAGGAAAAAACTTACATCCTCATTTGTTGTTTGATTGGAGCTGATCAAATAAGTATGAAAACCTGAGAGCCCAACAATGGACCAAACTGAGAAGAAACATACCACAGCTTCCAGCACAGTGATGCAAAGTCAAGGCAATATACAGGCTATTAATGATAGTCTCGTGGTCATTTCAAGTAGGAAGATTTCCCAGATTTTGGGGACAACCAAGATAAGTTGGTTAGCACCAGCATTCTAGTCTTACGAATTTCTCTTTTTTTTTTACTTGACCAAGCTAGGGTGGACTTGTTACAGCAAGACATTTGTTATATTTGTGTGCAGTTTTTAAATCTCAAATATTATGCATTTAGAAGAATACACAAATATACTCCTTATATAATCACTTTGTCCTAATGAGACAATATTGCAGATAAAATTTACATCACAAAAGGTCCATTTGCACAAACAAGGATGACCATGTGCTCCTCCCTTCCACTTTTAATTAACCTGCTACAAGCTGTAAGTTGTGAGCATAATATGTGAATCTGGAGCACTGGGATTTTAGGGGCTAAATAACCCAGTATTGGGTTAACCACAGGTGCTTTAGCCTCTAACAGGCAGTTTTACAGTAAAACATGCAACAGATATCCAGAATTCAATAAACCCTGTATTAAAAACCAGTGTCAGATAATAACCATCACTGGTAATACCCAAATATGGGTACATTTTTGCTAACTGGAAGAACATGCATACTGCAGGTGCTTCTGAGATCTGTGACAGCAACAGCTCTAAAACTGCAACAGAAATTCTAGCAGTTATTACCACACATTGCCTTCTCCACTCTAACTAGAAGAGAATTGCCAGTTATAAGAAGTCTTTAACGAGGATTGAAAGCACAACTGCACAGATACAGTAACATTCTGATTATTCTCCTTTGTCATAATTACAATTTGAATATGCCATGTAGAATAGTGTAAGAATGTCTTCTCTTTAGCAAATAGTCTTATCAGATGAATGTATAACTGTTTACCTTTCTATATTTTCAGTAAGGTATTTTAGAAAATATTTTCTATATTTACAGAAATGCACAGAGCTCTTTCCCATCTTTATAAGCTGAATATAAATATTTTATACTTCAGTCCATTATATTTCCATATGAAAGTTAAATAGATGACAGAAGTAAGTTCTATCATGTTTTTGACACAGAATGTTCTGGCAGTTTGCAAGTTCCAAGCCCCAGTCTTATAAAGGTGGCCACTGGAACAGATTAAACGAGAACCAGGGTACCAGCTACCTCGGAGGACTTTGATATCATCTTGCCTCCTCTCTTACCCATCTGCTGCCAATTTATTCTCTTTTTTTGTACTGAACTTTCTGCCACTAGTATTCTACTTTGTGTTCTTTCCTGAAGCAGTAACATATAGAATCTGATCTTTCAGAAATGAACTCAGAACTGGATTCCAAATTCTGATACTTTTAATAACTAAGAAATTCACAACATACATCACTGTTTGCCACAGTCTGAATTACGGTATCATCATAAATGTCCCCTTGCCTTTTTTTCTCTGATGGTGCTGTATCCTTACTAATTTCATTTCAGAACACAACTGTTGATTTTTAAGTGCCCACATACACATTTTTTCCTTGAAATGTGAGGAAGGCAGCAGTAATCAGATTTGTTATATCTATGGATCTTTTATAATTACTTCTCCTCTGTTGCATAAACTTCCTTTAAAAAGAACCATTCAAACCCAATATAGCTTCAAAATTCAATATAATTTATTTTCCTTTAAACAAGCATGCAGTAGTATTCTTTCTTTATTCATGAGTTCATTCATTTCTTCATTTGTTAAAATAAAATAGATGAAATGTGACTGTTTTTCAAAATGAAATGTTAATTCAGATTGTCTTAATGAAACCCATAACAAAGAGCTCAGAAGCGATTAACCTTAATACACTTCAGAAATGTGCTTTAGTTTATGTGCTATTTTAACCATGTGAAAATAAACAACTACTGCTCACAGAAGAGGGTTTGCCTTCCTCCTCCCTTCTGTCACAGCCCCCTACATTCTTGAAAACTATCCCAAGGATCAGAGGACCCTCCAGAGCTTACTGACGGAAAAACATTGCAAATTGGATGCCCTTTCTGCAGATCCCTAATTCCAAGGTCAGAATTTTGTTCCCAAACTCAAATCTGTTTCCAAAGAATCCTATGGCCCCTAAATACTGCTTAGGGGTCATAGGATCATTTCACCCAAGTAATATCTTACAATTTGCTTCAGAGACAGTGGTTACCTGAAGTACATCTAATTTTGCAGAATCCATAGGTCTGCCAAGAGAAAACAAACCCAAATACATTTAGATATTAGCTCATTTAAAACTGATCCAACATAAAGTATCTAAATACATTCTATTGAAAGGATATCTTGCAGGACTGTCCTTGAGTGCATTTAAGAACCCTGTTTTTTGAGATCCTGTAAAAAAAGAAATCTAAATATCAAATGGAAATATATGATATCTACATGAAAAAACCATTTAACATCCAATATATAGTTATTTCCCAATGGAGGCTTTATTTTTTTCTTGAAATACTAAGTTAAAAATGAAGGAATAAAATCAGAGTTTGCAGATGTTAGATATTTTCTCATTAAGATCAGTTTCACACGAATAAGATTTCCTCTGTTCTTTAATATCCAAATATGGGATTAGAACATAGAAGCTGATTTTTCCCATTGAAATATGTTCATAAATTTACTTTCTCTCTAAAAAATGTTTCTGTTGGATCAGAATATCCTGTATGTGCCATATTATGACCCAAATTCCAAGCTTGCTTACATATTCCCCTCAATACCATCTGGAGAGAGTAATTTGAGGAGCCAGCCACAGATTCCTGATATAATGCATTGATTGGTTCAGGCACTCCTGGCCAGAAGACCTGTTGCAGGACTCTCTAAGGCAACATTTTGAGAAATGCATATGGAGTAGGAAAATGGGTTCAGTCATATGCATTTCACATTTATGAAATTAATGGGCTACAAGTATTTTACATATTTTCTCAGAATTTTCAATGGTGAAACAGTGTTAAAGACAAGGTTTTCCAGTCAGTAAGTTTGGCCCAAACTAGGAAAAACCATTCTCTTAACACATGCAATTTTGACAGATCTTTATTTATCTTGGGGCGCGTGCAAGTGTGTTTCTTCATTTGCCTTTTCATTTTTGAATCTGTGACTGTCAACATGTTTTTGGAGTTTCACTACAACATAATCTAAAATCTTTTAACTCTCCCTAGCATCCTGAATCATTGTAATCTGAATTCTAATGAGTCTACAGCAGAATGAAAATAGAGGACAGGAAAACTGGAGCAATCACAGATTTTTCATTCTGTGAAATTTCTTTGTATGTTAACTTTCCACAGAAGTTGAACAACCAAAGCCAAATAAATAATAGGCTCCATCTAATGTTAGTTCTTCTTAGAGTAAGCCCAATGAAAAGAATGTGACTTAAGTTGAACTAACATTTAATTCTACTCAATCTCTTGCATTAATGTTTGCAAAGATTTTTAATTAACAAAAAAGCTTTACAGTTGGAAATCTTCTTGATGGCCAAATTAGGTGCATAATTTTGGAACTTGAGGTCAAGGTACAGGTAAAGAAATCATGGCTGACAAAAAGCTTAAAGCTTAAAACTAAAGTTTTCAGCAAATGGCATATTTATGACAAAAAACAATTTGTTTTTACTAGCATACTTACGATGGATGATGTGGGTGATAACAAATGCAAATATAAAGACTGTCAGAAAGGACAAAGATAAAATAAACATATAAAAAAATCTGTAGTTCCTTTTCCCCACACAGTTGCCAACCCATGGGCAATGGTGATCAAACCGTTCTGAAAGAGAAGGTAGAAAAAAAGGGAACACAATTCAAAACAATATAAAACAAAACCAAAATAGAACAAAACCCAAAAAACCGAACCCCACAGACCAGCTTGAAAACTCAGTCACAGAAAGTTCTTTATTATGCAGTTTTCTTATCATGAATAATATGATTTGTCACAACCTGGGTCTATCAAATATGTTTAATTCCATAAATATGTCTTCAACAATGCTTAATTTTTTCATCTTGGGCAAGCCTTTTCAAGTCCTCATACACTTCCACCTGTTATTCCTCTTTTATTTCTAGTATGTGATTTTATCTCTCAACTCATACTCCTGGCATACACATAGTGATTACTTAGATTTACATAGACCCTTTTTTATTAGGCTTCTTACCCAAATAAATTTTAGCCAATTATTCCATTTATGTAACAATAAAAACAGTGGTTTTGATGCAGAAAGCATACTTTAGTTTTAGATGATGCACCACATTATTATCTTAGAAGAGGTATTCCCTCTTATAGAACAGATGGTACTTGCCACCTATAGTTTTACAAGCACTTGCAATATAATATAATATAGTGCCTAATTTAAAGCACTTTTTAGTCAAACAATTAAAAAAATTAATAAAATTGGTAAATACATTAAATGGCACAGCCTTTTCACAAAATTGCCTAAGCTAAACACACTGTTGGTAGTGCTCCAGAGACACAGTTATGATCTCTTATTGGCTATTCTAGGAGCTGGTATCTTTCTATCCTGTTTAATTTGTTGTTTACATAGTAATACAGCATTTCTATATTCTATAACTAGTATGTCCACATGTTTTCCCTAATAACCATTCTTTTTATTCACATCACAAAATTTAGGTCATGATGGATCTATTGCTATTTCAGAAATGCAGAAAAGCCACCAATGCAGAAAGTTTTACATGCCAGTTTTAGCTTGGTGATTAAGCATTTTGTGTGCTCTTGCTATCAATCTATCTATCCATCCATCCATCCATCCATCCATTTTCTATTCCAAACCTTTCTAGCTCTCCATCACAAGTTAGAGCTATGATGCTGGCCAGGTATGTAAATAATGTTAAATCATAATTTACTGAGTCAAGAACAAGCTGTAGTGAGCCTGTGTTTACATGTTCCCTATTCTTCCTTCCATTAGTGCAACTATACGTAGGAAGCTTTCATTTACATTTTTGCTTAACTGCAATTTGCTATGTTGTCCAAACTGATAAAATCTGTTTAACATCAATTATGGTTTACTGGAATGTAGCCGCTGAGAAACAGTGTCTTTACTTCAGTCAGCCATAAGCTTTGGAAAACTGGTCATCCCTAGCAGCCTTCCATTTTTATTACATATAACATTTTTGTTTGTTTATTACAGTAGGTATTTGGTTGAGTCAGTAGTTGTGAGCTGTTTTTATAACTAGTGTTTGCTATTTTGTTCATTATTTTATCTTAGTACTTTTAAATAGCCTTGTATATTTTGAATATTGCAGAAATGCCCTGTAAGTACTGTAAACATTAAACTGAATATCCTTAAGATATTCGTCAGCTACCTGCAATCTGATAGTTCTGCCCTAGCATTGTCTGCAAAACTGCAAAATTTTACATCCTCCAGTATAGGCACCTGGGGCAACACAATGCCTTGGGCAGGCCCTGCAGCTGCCTAAGGCACTTATTAGTCAGTAGAATGCTCCAGATACCTGAAAGTATCCACAGAGTCAGAGCTGCTTCTGAGGTCCCTGCCTGGTGGTAAGAGTAGATCTGCCCTCTGTTCCTGCCTAGCCCCAGCAGTTAAGATGGAGTTTCTGTGCTGGTTCGGAGGATAGCTAGAATCAGCTTTTGTACACAAAAAACTCAATCTGCATTGTCAAAAGCCATTACTGAAAAACATGTAACAGAAGACACTGCAGCCTTTGTGTGTAACATCAGCAGCCTGGCTGATTCAATTACGATCACTGGTATCTGTGTTTGTTTGGTATTATGTCCCTTGTGGCTCCCTTTGTAGTCCAATGAGTTCATAATGTATGACTGCATCCATTTGGGGTTGTTCTTCATTCATCTATTTTTTTTTAATCGAATGAGGATATTTGTAGTATTTTGGTCTCTTTTCTGCACTTGAAACAAGGATACAAGCATTTGCACAAGAAAACTGGATTATGTAGCATTAGTAAATTATTTCCAACAGATATCAAAAAAGATACAGAGCATCTTTGAACAGCTTAAGCTCAAGACAAAAACAAGCAAACAAACAAATTTGTGTGATGTTAATTTCTCTGGCAATTTATTCAGTGTAAAACAATGTTAAGTCCCATCTCAGGCTATAAAAAGTCATCTGCCACTATGTAACAACTCTTCTACAGACTAGAAAAAAACAGGTAGACTGATATTTGTGGTCAAGACTGGCCTGAAAGAGCCTCAAACAAGGGGACAAATTGCAGTGTTACCTCTGACTTCCTGCATGACTTTAGAGAGTTTCCAAATTCCTGCCAAATCCCATGGAACACTCAGGGGTAAGCCCATGTCTCTCTTTTACTTTGGGCTTACTCACATGTACTTTCTAGGTTAACAATAATTACATGGTCAGCACAAGAGTGGAATCCTAAAGGAAAGTCTTTTTGAGAAGGAAAGCTTTGGTGGGCTTGACAAGGCCCATGGACCTTACATTATGTGTCTTTATTTATTTATTTTTCGATTTATATCCTGCCTTTTTCCTACAAAGGGCTCAAGGCAGCTTACATCTCCTCCTCCATCTTATCCCCACAACAACCCTGTGAGGTAGGTTGGGTTGAGAGTCTGTGACTGGCCCAAAGTCACCTGGTTGGCTCCATGGCTGAGCGGGGACTAGAACCCAGATCATCTGAGTCCCATGCTCTTAACCACTACACCACACTGGCTCTCTTTGAACCTGGGAATAGAAAATCAAAAAGGAAAGGGAAGGTTTAGGGATAAATAAAAGACTAAGAGAATGTGTTGTCCAGCTGCATTTTTATCATTGTTGATACTGTTCCTGGGAGGAATATTACTAGTTTTCCAGTTTATAATGAATTAGATTAGTAGAATATCTCTACTAATAGGAGGAATAATTGGATAATAATCCTTCATGTGCTTATAGCAGGATTAGACCTAGCAATTCTTCCTTAAGAGTAGTTTTTCTCCCGCATTTGCATAGTGCAAGGATAGGCAACTTGATGACTTCCAGATGTTTTAGACTACAGCTCCTACAAATCCTCACCATTGATCATGCTGGTTAGGGCTTATGGAAGATAATATCCAAATATCTGGAAGGCAACAGGTTATCTACCCCAATATAGTATTATCATTTCCTTCATGGATCACTGCCTTGTCATGGCGAAGGGGCTTCTGTAGCTCAATGAAGCTATGAGCTATGCCGTGCAGGGCCACCCAAGATGGACAGGTCATAGCAGAGAGCTCTGACAAAACGTGATCCACTAGAGAAGGAAATGGCAATCCACTCCAGTATCTTTGTCATGAAAACCCCATGGACAGTACCAAAAGGCAAAAAGATATGGCGCCGGAAGATGAGCCCCTCAGGACAGAAAGTGTCCAATATGATACTGGGGAAGAGCGGAAGGCTAGTAGTAGCAGTGCCAGAAAGAATGAAGTGACTGGGTCAAAGCCGAAAGGACACTCAGTTGCAGATGTATCTGGTGGTGAAAGGAGAGTCCGATGCTGTAAAGATCTATACTCCATAGGAACCTGGAATGTAAGATCCATGAATCAAGGCAAGCTGGATGTGGTCAAACAAGAGATGACAAGACTGAACATCGACATCTTAGGAATCAGTGAACTAAAATGGACAGGAATGAATGTATTTAATTCAGATGACCATCAGGTATACTACTGCGGGCAAGAATCCCTCAGAAGAAATGGAGTAGCCTTCATAGTCAATAAAAGAGTAGGAAAAGCAGTACTGGGATACAATCTCCAAAATGACAGAATGATCACAGTTCGAATCCAAGGCAAACCATTCAACATCACAGTAGTCCAAGTCTATGCCTGAACCACTGGTGCTGAAGAGGCTGAAGTTGACCGGTTCTATAAAGGCCTACAACACCTTCTAGAATTAACACCAAAAAATGACGTGCTTATCATCATGGGGGATTGGAATGCTAAAGTAGGAAGCCAAAAGATAACCAGAATAACAGGCAAGTTTGGCCTTGGAATACAAAATGAAGCAGGGCACAGGCTGGTAGAATTTTGTCAAGAGAATACAATAGTCATAGCAAACACTCTTTTCCAACAACCCAAGAGACGACTCTACACATGGACATCACCAGATGGTCAACACAGAAATCAGATTGACTGTGTGCTCTGCAGCCAAAGATGGAGAAGCTCTATACAGTCAGTAAAAACTAGACCAGGAGCTGACTGTGGCTCAGATCATGAGCTTCTGGTTGCAAAATTTTGGTTTAAATTGAAGAAAGCAGGGAAAAGCTCTAGGCCACTCAGGTATGACCTAAATCATATCCCTGATGAATATACAGTAGAGGTGACAACTAGATTTAAGGAATTAGATCTGATAGACAGAGTGCCTGAGGAACTATGGATGGAGGTTTGCAACACTTTACAAGAGGCAGCAACTAAAACCACCCCAAAGAAAAAGAAATGCAAGAAAGCAAAATGGCTGACTGAGGAAGCTTTACAAATAGCTGAGGAAAGAAAGGAAGCGAAAGGCAAGGGAGAAAAGGAAAGATACACCCAATTGAATTCAGAATTCCAGCTAGAAGAGATAAGAATGCCTTCTTAAATGAACAGTGCAAAGAAATAGAAGAAAACAATAGAATAGGGAGGACCAGAGATCTCTTCAAGAAAATTGGAGATATGAAGGAAACGTTTCATGCAAAGATGGGCATGATAAAGGACCAAAATGGCAGGGACCTAACAGAGGCAGAGGAGTTTAAGAAGAGATGGCAAGATTACACAGAGGAACTATATAAGAAAGAGCTTAACATCCCTGATAACCACGATGGGGTGGTCACTGACCTCGAGCCAGACATCCTGGAATGTGAAGTCAAATAGGTCTTAGGAAGTCTGAGCAACAACAAAGCTAGTGGAGGCAACAGTATTCCAGCTGAGCTATTCAAAATCCTAAAAGACGATGCAGTAAAAGTGCTACACTCAATATGCCAGCAAACTTGGGAAACTCAACAGTGGCCACAGGATTGAAAAAGGTCAGTTTACATTCTGATCCCAAAGAAGGGCAATGCCAAAGAATGTTCAAACTACCACACCACTTCACTCATTTCACATGCTAGCAAAGTGATGCTCAAAATCCTGCAAGCTAGGCTCCAGCAGTATGTGGACTGAGAACTACCAGAAGTACAGGCAGGATTTCGAAGAGGGAGAAGAACTAGAGATCAAATTGCCAACAGATGCTGGATCATGGAGAAAGCTAGGGAGTTCCAGAAAAACATCTACTTCTGCTTCATTGACTATGCTAAAGCCTTTGCTTGTATGCATCACAACAATTGTGGCAAGTTCTTCAAGAGATGGGAATACCAGACCATCTTATTTGTCTCTTGAGAAACCTATATGCGGGTCAAGAAGCAACAGTGAGAAATGGACACGGAACCACTCATTGGTTCAAAATTGAGAAAGGAGTTCAGCAAGACTGTATACTGTCACCCTGCCTATTTAACTTATATGCAGAGCACATCATGAGAAAGGCGGGGCTAGATGAATCACCAGTTGGAATTAAGATTGCCAGGAGAAATATCAACAGCCTCAGATATGCAGATGATACCGCTCTAACGGCAGAAAGTGAAGAGGAACTAAAGAGCCTCTTGATGTGTGTGAAGGAGGAGAGTGCAAAAGTTGGCTTGAAACTCAACATTAAGAAAACTAAGATCATGGCATCCAGTACTCTCACTTCCTGGCAAATAGATGGGGAAGAAATGGAGGTAGTGACAGATTTTATTTTCCTGGGCTCCAAGATCACCGCAGATGGGGACTGCAGCCAAGAAATTAAAAGACGCTTGCTCCTGGGGAGGAAAGTTATGGCAAATCTAGACAGCATACTAAAAAGCAGAGACATCACCCTGCCGACAAAAGTGCATATAGTCAAGGCTATGGTTTTCCCAGTTGCAATGTATGGTTGTGAAAACTGGACCATTAGGAAGGCTGAGCGCCGAAGAATTGAGGCCTTTGAATTGTGGTGCCGGAGGAGCCTCCTGCGAGTCCCTTGGACCGCAAGGCGATCAAACCGGTCAGTCCTAGAGGAGATCAACCCTGACTGCTCTTTAGAAGGCCAGATACTGAAGATGAAACTCAAATACTTTGGCCACCTAATGAGAAGGAAGGACTCCCTGGAGAAGAGCCTAATGCTGGGAACAATAGATGGCAAAAGAAGAAGGGGAGGGCAGAGAATGAGGTGGCTAGATGGAGTCACTGAAGCAGCTGGTGTGAGCTTGAGTGGACTCCAGGGGATGGTGGACGACAGGAAGGTCTGGAGGAATGTTGTCCATGGGGTCATGATGGGTCGGACACGACTTCGCAACTAACAACAACAACATAGTATTATCATGTTTGTAACAGTATTTTCTGCAAAGTCTGCTACCTTCATTTAAATGAACTGTGGATGCAACCCAAGTAATAATAATTCCTATTTTGTTAAACTGAAGAGGTTAAAAAACCCCCTTCCTGTTAAGATGTTTTCCTAGGCATCTATCTTAAAGAGAAAATTTCCTTTTCTTCTTTAAATGCTTACACTCAGACCTATACTAAGATTTGTGAGTCCACAACAAAAGCATGCCTTTTGTAGGGAGGTAGATGGAGGAAACATTCAAAAATAGCAAGTCAATGTTACATATAGAAAAAAGGGACATGTGTGCTGTAGCACCCATACTATACTATGATACTCTGCAGCAAGATTTTAAAAAGCATGGCAGGTAATGTGGACAACATGCAGCAGACAAGTAGTTATCTTTGCTCCATAACCCATACTCAACTATAATACGCCTGTATCCCATGGACTAGGAATGTACTGTATTCAGCTGTCTGGATTATATATAATCTTCAGTAAATATATGCATGCATTGGTCAAACACATACTTACTGCTTCAATTTATCATGTGAGAGACTGCTATTAGCAACTGTTTCATGGGGTTGTTTGGGTTTTTTTTAAACTTCATTTCTGACAGCCATAGAACGTATCAAAAATCAAGCTGTGTCCTGGATAGGACAAAATCCTACATCTAAAGTGTAATTCTTCTGTAGCCTTAATTGCAATTTTTGTAATGTTCCACTGTAGTCCTGATTTTGCACTTTCTTATTTCACTTTTATCAGGAGTTATTTCTGCCAATAATATGGTATCATCTACATATCTCAAATTATTGATACATCTTACACCAAGTTTGACTCCTTCTTCCTTTGATCCCAACCCAGCTTCTCTTATAATACTTTCCACATACAAATTGAACAGATAGGAATTTGTCTGCCATCTTTGCCTATAGGAAGCCATTCTGGTTTTCTATATTCTGTCCTAACAGTAGATTCTTGAACACAAAATAACAGTGGACAAGAGCAGTTCTTCTGGTTCATATTAACTGCGCACAGGAATGCAAATCTGTTCTGTATACAAATTTTAAATGCCTCAGGAAAGTTATTTAAATTGTATTTTGGCACTGTTCTTCAGCTAGTCATCTCATCTGATTTTCAATATTGATTGTGGTCATTAGGACAAACTGCTCCTGGTCTTGTTTCAGCAGTGAGAATGCACTTCTTCATCTTTGGCTTCCGATTACATAGTCTGTTTGATTGCTATATTGGCCATCTGGTGATGTCCATGCATATGGTCATTCAATTAGTTCCCTGAAGTGCATCTGTAATAAATACATGGTTGCTTTCATGGAATTCTATGAGCTGCTCTCATGTTTCATTTCTGATCCTGAGGACAGATGATCAGGATGTCTTGTCTTGATGTGTTACCAATTTCCTCTTGGATGCTTGCATAACAGTTTGTTATTTTTCTGCTTCTTTGGCCTCTTTTGTTGGAGCATAGACTTCAATGACTGTTACGTTGATAGGTATTCCAAGAATTCTGATTGACAGGATTTGTTAAGACTTTGTATTATGGCCCTTTACTACCTGTTCCAGATCTTGCCTTAGTATCAGAGTCACTCCATTTCTTCTGAATTTGACTTCATTTCTTCAGAGTTTTCCAAAGTAAAACACATTGTGTTTGTCTGCCTAAAAATTTCCAGTTTGCCTTCATTCATGTCTCAGATCCCATGCTCCAATTGAATGTGTTGCCTAGCACTGGGCTTTCCTTGCAGCTCTGTGCATATCAGCCATTAGACTTTCTTTCAGTTTTGATCTAGCTGTGTCATTAGCAACAGCTCTATTTGCATTTGTCCTTTGATCTTTCCCTGAAGTTCACTGAATGTCTTCCAATCTGGGGGTCTCATCTTCTGGTACTATCTCATTTCATTCTGGATTGTTTTATCAAGGGGCTTTCAAGGTAAGAAATACTCAGAAGTGGTTTACCATTGCCTTATTTTGCACAGTACTAACCAGAATTAGCTTGAGTGGCTCTGCCATTGTCTATGAAATATCCTTCAACAGTGTCACCTTCAGCTACCGCTGCTGCCCAGGAGCTGCCCTTCAGGAATTCCTCCACCCACATCACCATTAGAGTTATCAATTCTCTTCTGCTGATGTGGCTGTTACTTGTTAAGAGGGTAGCTGCATCTTAGATTGGTGTCTCATATTTGACTATTCTGCCTTCAGTAACCCTGTTAGGAAATCAGAGAGTCTGACATCCTGGCACAACTGTTTTTGGCTTCTCTGAAACTCTCAAACATCCTCACCACATGGAGGAGTGCATTCAGGAAGGGAATGGCATCAATAGTCACTAAGTATTAGTGATTAATAAACAAACTTGAGTATATTCCCTTTCACCTGAAATACAGAGTAAGAAGGAAGAACTGGATGTCTTCTTTCATAATCACATAAAGTAAGTACAGTCCACGAGGTAGTAAAAGTTTTTCCTGTATTAATAAGTCAAAAACCTGTGATGTTGTCTGGATGTTGTTTTCTGATTTTAATGGTTATTAAATACAGGTTTACTTGATTTTTTATTCCACCCTCCCTCTATGTGACTCAGGGCAATGAACATATTCCACACTCCTTTTATGCAACAAAACTATTAATGTAAATTTAAGTGATGGTAACCGACAGAAGGGAATCTAGTGAGCATCACAGCAGAGAGCAGCTTGAACCTGAGTCTTCTGGCTGCTAGACTATTCTATCTCCTAAATCATATTGATGATAATAGTGGCTATTATCAGTTCATCTACCCATCAAGAAACCTGTATTTTGCCACCAAACTAATTTTTCTACATGTGCTTGTTTATGTATTATGGAATATCTCCATTTGTGTGTCAGCAAATGGCAGCCACATAATACATGCAACTGAATGGGGCTATCTGTGGTAGTAAAATAAGTTTTATTTATTTTATTTATCATTAAACTTATATTCCGCATTTATTAGCAGAATAAAACTGTTTTATTCAGGACAACAATACCGTTTAGGAAACGTTGCTTCAAAACCATATTTTAAGTTACTGAGTATTATGTTCTCACTTTTAGCTTCAGCATCTAAGCTAGCTATGTACATTAGTTGGAATATGTATGTTGACAAAATCATGCCCTAGTTCACTACAATAGAAATAAGTGTTCAGCTTTTGTAGCATCCTACTGTATAACTTCTGACTAAGAATCATTTCAAAGTGTTATGGTTGCCTTTCAAATTGAACAAAGATTTGGGAAATGCATTACTGTGACACTTGGGAAGAGAGTATACTCAAAGAGTAGAACTGAACTGAAAAATGCTACATGGTGTACAAAAATGGCTATAATTTAGTTTTAAGAAATACCACGATGAGTAGACTGACAGGCATATACCAATTCTCCATCACAGTTGGCAAGACTGGTACATAATAAATTTTTGTTGATTTACTCACCTACACAGTTATCACAAAGGCTGCAATGGGAAGCTCGGGGTGGACGGAAAATCTTGCAGGTAAAACAGTATTTTAATTTCACTGTCTGCCCATTGATAAGTACTTCTTTTGTTCGGGGAGGTGGACGGTACCCTCCAGAACTAGATCCGTTTGCCATTTCTAAATGGGAAAAGAATAACAAAATGTCACACTATAGAGTTTTCTTTTGATACGTTCGAAATAAGTACATTACTGTAATTTCAACTCTGGTTATATATGTTTTCTGTATGAACTGGAAATGCCTGATGAAAACTGAAGCAGCCTTTAGGGTTCTTTCGTTAGACCATTACGGATGCAATTCTATGGCCTCTCAACATTGTCTGGAGGGCCATAGGATTATTCAGAATCCCAGCTATGAGGTCCTTTCACTGTGAGAACTTCTACCTTGCCTCCTCCACAGCCAGTGCAGAAAGAACTGAATCAGCTTTCTCTCCAAGACTGGAAATTAGTGTTGGAGAAGGTTAAAGGGGCATTCCTGAGAACAGGGAAAAGGTTGGACTGCTTACTCCATATTCAAATGGCACTCCAGCCTCCTTCCCTCCCCCGCTATGACACTTCATCTAGATAGACACATATGGACAAATTGGGAAATAATGTGTATCGCCTTCTACTTTTACTTAAAAAGTAGATTAAACTTAAAGATAAAATACAATGTGAAAAAAAGTATTTTAGCTGGACAGAATTTCAGGCTACAAATTTTCAATTCTTCACCTCCTAAATTTCCTAAATAAGGTTTCCAGAAATAATTTATCTTTTCATTTGACATGTTAGATGCAATTACGTCAAGATATTTTTACATGTCATCAAATTGTCTCTGACTTACGGTGACTCTCTGTTCTCCAAAACGTCTTGTCTTTGACACCCCTGTTTACCTCATAAACTCAAGGTTGTGACTTTAATTAAGAACATTAAGTCAGAGAAAAGAATATAATTGACATTTCCCTCAGACTAAGGTAACACTATGGGAATCACCAAGGTGACAAAGAGAAAGAAATGCTCTTTTTATTCAATGATTTATTTTTTATTATTAACATTCATATACTTATTTGCTAAAATGTCATCAGAACATGTAAAACAATTTTTAAAACTTTAAACAATACAAAGCAAGCACATTAAAATGACTAAATTAAAAGATGAGTCTGTTTATGAACCAAAAGAGTGGAAGGATAATCATAGTTCTTAAGGAAGCACATTCCACAGTTCAGGAGCAACACAGGAGAAAGTCCTTTCATGCATGTGGACATATGGACCTCTAGAGCTAATGGTGTCCTCAAGAGATTCTCTCCTGCAGAAAATATAACCAGGTAGGTTCATAATGAGAAAGATAGTCCTTTAAAACACTGATTTACAGCTCTCAAGCTTTCAAATTACAGCACTGAAAAGCTAAAACAAAGTTTTATTTTACAACCTTGTAAAGAATACCTTTATGATAATACACAGCAATTTACTTTTAAACACTGTACAGCCAATAAATCAACAGCAACTGGGTCTGCACAGCTTATTAAGCCATGGTGGTTGGTTTAGTGTGTTGTCTGAACACAGTATTCTTCCTGCAGGGTGGTTTGTAAACCACCCTGAAGTGCTTATAAACCAAGCAAACTAGGTGTGTAGTAAAGATACTGTGGTTAGTAAACCCAGACAACAAAATAAGCCATGGTCAAGCCAACAAACCAGAAAGCCTCTTGGCAAGAGCAGCGGAAAGGCTTGCTGCTCCTAGCCAAGGGGTTAGGCAAGCCTTCTCAAGCATTCCAAAGTGCTAAAGTAGAACTTGGGGGCAAGCTGAAAAAGGCTTCTCCCCATACTGCTGGAAGCTTGGGTCCTTAAAACCATGGGGAAAGCACTCCTCAAAAACTCCTCAAAAACATTGCAAAAAAGCAAAAACAAACCAAAACCAAAAAAAAAAAAAAGTTAGCCTACTGTTAACTACAGGGTCTCTTCCCCCCCTGCCCCCCCCCATGTGTGTATAACAGAATCCTTGGGGACTTGTACGGGCTGTTCATGAGGCCCTGGACTGCTCTCATTTTCCCAGTGTACTGCAGGAGGGCTGAGCAAGGAAGACAGTGGAGAGGAGGCAAACAACCCCTACTATGCCTGGTCCTCTGTCAGGAACAGAGGAATCTTAACCGTAATGCATGGCTACAGCTTCCAAGGAATTGTATGATCTCAGCAGGTGAAAATTTGACAGATGCATAAGCAATAGAGATGCAGCTAAGAAAAGAGAGGACTTGGTAGAACACCAACTAATTATATGTATTTAGTTTGAATATGTTTGGATTTAGTCTCATTGTGGCACCACAAAAACAGTTAAGCACATTTTATTGTTCTAATCTCACAGGGATATAACAGTAGTCTTTAAGAATCAAACAAATTCTTCATAAAATTCCTTAATTTTAATTCAACTCAAAGCCAATCTAAAATCAGCTTAAAGGGGGAAGACATACTTTAAAATGCTAATTAAGTTTCAATCACACAAGAAACATTAGACATTCTTGAAAAACATTAGTTCAATTGAGTAGGTATTACCATATGAAGCTGTCTTATTCTATCTAACCTGCAAGTCTGACCTGCAACAGCACTCCACAATACCAGATAGAGTTACATGGACCTATACTTCAATGAAAACCAGCATGATTTTTCTTTTAAGGCTTGGAACATTTTGGCTTGCAAAGTCATGAAGGACTCAGAGTGATTGCAGGCAGCATTAGGCTTAAGAGTTACAGCTAGCCCATCAAAGCTAATTTTGCATGTGTAGCTCTATACTGCTTTCATATAGCAATCCACATATATTTCAGTCATTCAGTAGGGAAAACCTTAGTTGGTTAATTATGGACCATGCAACTTAACACCGCTTAGCCCTATCCCACAGAGCCATTCTTATTTCTAAAGAGCGCCAAAATACACTTGGATTGCATCTGGATTTTTTCTGTCCTTCACTGTTATTCATTCTGAACCTTGTAAGACCAAGCAAGTTCTAAAACTGTATCTTGGGACATTCTACATTGATGTTGCAATGCACAAAAGCCAGTACACCTTTGTAAAAGTTGTGATTTTATTCTGTATGGGATTGTTTTGGTGAGCCACCCAGAGAGCCCTTGGGCTATGTAGCAGCATACAAGTGTGATAGATAAATAAATAAATAGGGTGGCGACATAAGGTTTCTGTGGGAGGTCCCACATTGACTGCATAATGTTTTTCCCTTCTTGGCTTTGAACAAAGATTTTAAAATACTGAATGCACATGCAGGACAAATGGAATATCTATTGTATTTATTATACAGCTGCACCACAATTTTAGCCCACAAAAGCAGTATGCTTTACAAAGGTAGTTAGCATGGCCTATTTTGTAGTATCTGAAAGTACTCCAGTGAAAAGCTGTAAAATCTTCTAATTAGGAAGGATTTAAAAAACAAATACTGCATTCTGTGTGAGCAGCTACCATCTAAAGTGTTGTTATACTTCTGCCACTCTGGAATGAATACAAACATAACCAACTTGTCTAATTATCACATAAATCAACTACTAACATGGCCACATCAATACCATTTGCAATTAACTATTCAAAATAGAGGTATTTTGTGCCAAAAGTGAGCAACTCATTAAATCAGATATCCTTACATGACCTGAAGTTCTCAAAACAAAGCTCAAGTATAAATGCGACAATATGCAAGAAGATCAGAAACACTGATATTAGAGCAGTTCTTCAAGGAATCTGCCAAATATCAAATTTTATATTTGCCACAGCATGACAGCAACCTATGCCTATTAAATTTGTTTTGGTTTCTTCTTAAGACATCCAAAAATATCAAATATGATCTTTTAACTCATTCATTATCTAAAATCAGCTGTAATTTGGCAGAAGAGGAGATCTTAGTTTTAATATTAGAGTAGAACTGACATGTTCCTGAATATTTCTTGGCATTAATAAAGTTCAGTATAACTCTAATTATACCCCCAAATTAATGAAAAAGGTCCTTGGTCAAAATCTCTAAACTCTGTTCTTCATGCATCACACTGATAAATCCTGCCAATATATGTATGCAAATCATTTCAATTATAAAATTCTTTTAATTACCCTCCTCTCTCAAAGTGGACAAATGTTTAAATTTCTCCATTTGCAAGGGTGTTTTCCTAAGGGCCAAGATCTTTACTCTGAAAACCTTTGCTGTTAGCTAAGAAAGCCATATGTTTTCCCCTACACTAGTTTCCAAAGTGAAGTATAATTTCACCCAGTTTCACAACTCTAGTGGCAAATGCAAGATACTATATTTCACCCTTCTTTTCTAACATAGTTATTCTGTATTCTGTTTCCAAAGGCTTACATAGTTTCATTACAGCACAATAAGAGGAAGAGTGTTTATGCCAAATAGGTGTTTGGAGAATTCAAAACACATGTAACAATGACTTTATTTGAAACATCTATCTGGATCAGTATTTAAAATGATGGAAGCAAGCCTTCATTACACAGGATTCTTCAAGAAGAGAATAATACAATGGAAATGGTGTTGTATCAGGCCAGGGGGTTTATTCAAGCCTTGCGGGATAGTCTTTACGCAACTATGTAAGCAGACCTTTGAGGTACAAGAGGGAGGAAATAAGTTTAACAAGACTTTAAGGACTGATTTAGATGTTCCAAAGAAGTAGGCATAAAGCAAATAGAAGTGATTTGTGTGCCTTCTCTGACGCTTCTTGATCCTGTACAAGAGGCAGATATTTGTCCCAGTGTGGGGATAAAATGTGCATCTCTCATGAGGCAAAGAAGGCATGGGTAAGGTCTTGTAAGTTACTCACTTCTCCAATAGTATGCTACCTTGTCTGTGCTGGCACTTACTGAGTGGAATGATCCGCTCTCTGAGGTACATAAAGCCTTGGTGCTGGCATTTTTTATTTTTTGGCACTGAAAACATGCTTGCTTTGGCTCCCCTATAACCATGAACTATCTCTGTACTAGCCTCCTGATACCATTGTGTGTGTCTGTGTTTGTGTGTTCATGTATGATGGACTTTTTTGTTCCCTTGTCTGTTTCTTTTCTTATTCTTTTATAAACT